GAGTTGAATTTCTCAAATATTTTTGTATATCCCAAAAAAACCAATAATTCTTTCTTAGCCCAGCCCCATTACAAGCCTCAAAAGACCTTTTGATTTAAGTCTTGCTTAACAAATGTTGATTGCTTGAAGATGATTATCAATATTGGATTGTCTAAATGAAGTGATTGAACGAGATAAACACTTACCTGTAAGAATTAGAGATGAGTATATATAACTCTTTTTGAGAGATCATGCTTCTCTGAGGATAGTTGAAGAATAATTATTCTTTGTTGGTTTCTATAACTTGAATGCTTATGTGTTCTATTTTCATTTGGAGTTGAGAGCATCACCTCTGAAAATTTTTATGTTGTGGTTCTGGAAGAGAAAGTGATAATAGGCGATGATTTTGTTTTGAAAAAATTACTTTGCTTGGGACAAGCAAGATTCTAGGTTGGGGGGAGTTCTTAAGTGGTAAAAAGTTGATATAATTATGTCTTGAATTGTTATGAAATCACTTATGTTAATTTTAATATATTTTTCTCCCAATATAGGATGAATTCAAGAATTCCTTGATACAAGAGTAAGGAGCATAATTGTCAACATAATTAGAGAAAATTTAAAAGAAAGAAGAACGCTTAAGCAAAGGAATGATGCGAGGCCCGACCCAAATTCTCTTATAAAAAGATAAGATGTGTTTTGAGAAGGAAGGAGTCTTGGAGAAGAGGAGGCACGACTATTGTTAGGGTTTTGTCTAATCTTCATCAATTCTTCACTTCATCAATTAGAGCATTGTAATGACCAACATGAGTGACTAACTTCATTCTCTTAGGATTCAGTGCACTTCCTTTGAACTCTTTTGTATCATGGTGATATTTTGAGATATTAATCTATGCTTTGATGTTGTTATTCTTATCCTTTATGCTTTGGAATGATTTATTCTTGATGTTTGGGGTATGATTGAAAAATATATCTTGAACCCTAGATCACGGTAAGAATATTTGTTACGTTAATTGCCAGGAATGGAATGAATGTATCAATTGCTTAACACCCTAACCTTAATGCTGGAAAATCTTTTAATTGTGTGAGGAATCAATATTTATAAGGTTTTCTTATGAATTTCATGTGTGAAGAATCAACATGGATCATTTGAGTAAGTGACATCAACATTGTTAGATTAATTGACGTTCTTAATTGACAGTCATTACAAAAGAGGGATAAGGAAGGAAGTCAATCCTAAGTGCCTTTAATTGATATTTTCTCAACAATTTATAGTTCTTTGTCTTTTAATTTCAATTCAACTCTTTATGCAAAACTCATTCCGTTTTAATATACTTAGTAAACATATAATTGGGAATTTCCATTGAAACAGTTCCTCGTGGGATCGACTTTTATTTAATCGAAATACTATACTACGATTTATAATTTTGGTACGCTTGCCAATAATTCAACAAAGATTTCCACATTCAATTTGATATCTAACTATATGCTCAATAGTAGATTCTCCTATATCCCCCGAAAATTTTATAAATTTTGGTATTTTTTGCCTTCTAGGCAATTCAACCTCAATAGTATATTCTCCTATATCCCCCAAAAATCATGAAATGGTGAAATAAATATGGTTGGTTATACAATCTCATTAATTCCATTATCCTACCATTTGATTATAAGTGTTCTGTAGATAATTTCCATTATTTTGATTATTTCTACATATATTGTCCCACATTTGTACAATCTGATCAACATCTTGACCTTTATTGATTATTCAAACATTTCTCAATTGATTTTGATTTTCTTGCATATTTCGATTATTATTATTATTATCTTGTCCTAGAGGTTCACCTTGATTATTCCCTATCTACAAATTATCATTCACCGAATTATTTCTTCTAGGTATAGCAAGTACATCTCCTATCCTTGCCATATGCTCAACTAATCTTTGAAAATTATTGGTTATAGTATGTACTAGAGGATTTAAGATTGTTGTCATTTGTTGAGATAATAAGTTGATCATTTCATGATTACTATCATCCATTTGTTGTCTTATTATCTCCAACACACTACTCGATATTCTCGTGTTTAAATTTTCGATGTCATAATGATTTCTACTGTTTTCCCTATCATTTCGCAACCTAAGTTGATTCTGACTTCGATCATTCATCCTACTAGAATTTGGGGTTGGTTGCCATGACAACATTCCCCATTAATATCTTTCTTCTATTGGTACTTCATGACTATTTCTTTCGACTAATGTACTTCCACCAATATTGTGCCCTCCCAACATAACAGGTCTACTCATTATCACTTGTGGACCGACATAAACACTAAATAACTGATGTTCCCTGATTACTTTGATTACCATTATTCTGATCAGCAATATTGCCCTAGATGTTTACATTATGCCTGGTACCAATACTTATATTATGGCCCTTGTTGGTACTGTTTGGCATCACATTAGATGTTAATGTGGAACTAGGTGTAATATTTTGTGTATTTTGACTTGTTATGACTGTTCTACCACTTCGTAATCTCATACATTACTATTCTCTAGAAACTAGATAACATATAGTAAGTTGTCCCACTGGACATTGTCAATTTGTTTCTAGTGTAAATGATTTGTTGTACAATCAAATAATATATGTCATGTATGCAATGAATCATTTAAACACCATGTGGATTCTTTTAATTTTTTACTAACCAACACAAACTTTTCTTAAATTTGATTGTAGAGGATTAATACGTGATCAACGTCAATCATTCAAGAATCAAGATAATATGCATTTCAATTAAGAATCGATAATGTATAATTTGGATTTTCAATATAATTTGTAACATTTGACGTAAATTGCAAGAATGATAAAAATACAATGAATGTAAATTGCTAGAAAATAAAGTGCAATAAAAATAATAAATGTGCAAAGTAAGTAAATTATATAAAAGTAAATATAACTCATTACTAAGGATAAAACATGAAATGTTAAAGAAAATCGATAAAGATGATGATCCAAATTGTAAAGAACTCCATTGAAAATGCTTGTTCAGTATTCGTATTATTTTTAAAAAATAAGTTTCTTCGTATAATTTGACAATCACCTATATTTACATTTATTTCACCCTATTTATATTTTTCTTATGTAACTGCTAAAACACTTGAATATAAAAATGAAGAAACAAAAAAAAATTTAAGATGAAGTTAAATAAAATACACGAAATGTAAATAAAAATCCACAAGCAATTATTTTACTTTCCTATATTTGCTTTCCCTTTTTCTTGACCACTTTGTTGTCACATAATATCCATAGATGCACATATCACATAATGGAACTGCAACTGTTTTTACATATCTCTTGAGTGTATAACTTCTTTTCGATGTCTTTGTTCCTTTTGATTTGCAATATTTGATTAATATTTTTAACTTTTTGATCTTCAACAATCTACTGATCACACTATACCCTTTCTTGACTTCTCGTTTGTTCAACCCAATCTCTTGTCCAATAATATACATGCAGAACATTTATTAAGCATTTAAAGTTTGCATCTATGATTTACTCATTTCAACTCATCACTTCAAGTTTCACATTTTACTCTTAATTCTTTCACTTTTGATATTCAATCCTTAAAAATTTCAATTATATTTTTTTCAATGTCATTGTTTTCTTTAATATCTCCAATGTTTTTTTTATTTATTCCCTTCGATATCTATAAAAATAATATTATATAAAAATTAGGTAAAATATTTTAATTACATTATATAAAAAAAACTCTTATAGTCATCGTACTTTATAATTTTTTTTCATAATTCATTTGTCATGATATTCTCTAACCACTTAATTTTATTATATTTTATTTTAGTATCTAAATTTACATAAATAATTTAATTAAGTTAAATAAATAATTATATTATGTGTTTTTTTAAACGCTGCTTTCTATTAGAATAATTGTAAACATCACTAACAAAAGTTAACCAATTTTTTACTAATAACACCCATAAATTAGAGTTTATTTTTTTTTATATTTTTTACTCCATCATGATAAATAAAACATTTCTAAATTCTTTATTTATTTTTTTGGATAAATAATCGATTTGATTTCTAAAAATATAAAACAATAACAATTCAGTTTTTTAAGGTATATAACTCTATTTCTATCGAATCCAATATAAAATAAACTTATATTTTTGAGTACAAGTTCAAGACCAATTATATTTATCAATATTAATTTAATAAGATATGAGTTGACTTTAGAAATAAGTTATAAAACTAAAAAGAGAAGGTATATAAAACAATTTTATAGGATTGATTGATATTAGTTGAAAGTATCATACTTAATTGCATAGAATTTTTTTGAAAGAATGAAATTTTATATAATATTTAAATGTGTAAAAATAAAAAATACGAACTAATGTCTATACTTTACTTAATGACAGATTAATACTAAAAAAATATAATATAAACATTATAATATAATAACAAATATTCATAGAAAAAAAAAATATATATATATATATATATATATAATTATCATACTTTTACCTATTTGATAAATAAATATAAATTTTAATTTTTTTCATGATTAAATTGATAACCATTTAAATCTTTTTTACAAAATCCAAATAGTCATCTATCCAATTTTTTTTATCTACTAAATATAAAATATAAGAAAAATTTATTAAAAAAAAGAGATTTTTTCTTTTTAATTCTAATAATCATTGTAATCTAGTTATATTTTGGATTAATTAATATAAAATCGATAGCTTTACAATCATATGCAGAAACAGTCACTGAAAACCTAAACCTAAGAGCCTATCTGCAAGCACTCGCTCGCTATCGCGCCCTTGTCACCTTCCTTTCAAAACCTAAACCTCCTACGAGACTCTGAAGAATTCATCGAGCTACTTCTCGGTTCACCTTCGCGACTTAAGGTACTCGTCATTTCTCGTGGTTGGTTCAATTTTTCTCTTCTTTATCATGGTATTAAATACTCTTTCCTATCGTAAGTTGCGTACCTTTTTCGTGTTCCCTTTCATGCTTCATGGTTTACAATGTAAACCAGCAGTGAAATTTATGCAATTTGTGTTTTCTTTGTGTTCTTTGATTTTGGATTTAACTTCTTTTCTATTTGGATTAGGGTTTGGCATGGCGAGAAAACGCAGCAGTAGCGGCGAGTCGAGTGGGGATGATGTGAGGAGACGCAGTGGCAGCGAACCTGAGGATGACGAGAGGGATAGGTATCGGCGTGATAGTGGGAGTGGTAGGAAGAGTTCCAGTCACTTCAGGGAGGATAGTGATAGCAGTGTTTCGGGGGAAGAGAGAAATGGAGCTAAGAGGGACGGTGGAATGCGGAGTGATAAGAAGAGGAAGAGTAGGGAGAGAAAGGAAGAGTCGGAGAGCTCAGAGGAGGAGGGTCAGATTCTAAATAAAGAGAAGGTTAGAGAAGAGAAAGAAGAGGATGAGAGATTGCGGCGGGATTATGATGGACGTGGAGGGAGAGATGACGAAGGAGATGGCCGGGGTGGAAGAGAATCTCGTCGAGGGAAGGATCAGAGTGAAAGGCGAGGGGAGAAAGAGAGCCACAAATTGCATCACAGTGATAGGTGGCGTGGAGGTGAGGAGGAGAAAAGGAGAATTATAGATAGCCGTGGGCAGCGCGATTCAGAAGAAGAAGATCACAGGGAGCAGACCAGGAAAACAGATAGGTACAGGGATAGGGATAGGAGGCGGAAAGATGAAAAGGGTGGTAACAATGGGAGGGATCGACGAAGACGTTATGATTCGGAGGAAGATGATAGGGAGTTGACAAGGAAATCAGATAGGGATAGGGATAGGAGACGAAGAGTTGAAAGGGATGATGACAATGAGAGGAATCGTAGGGATAATGATGTGATCCAGCAGCACGAAGACAGTAGGAAGAAAGAGAATGGAAATGGAAGAAATGTTGTAGATGCAAATCCTCAACGACAGGCAGCGATCCCAGGAAGTAACCTGAATGGTGATGCATCTAATTTGGGCAAGAGTGGAGGTGTTTACATTCCCCCCTTTAAGCTGGCGATGATGATGAAAGAAGTTCAGGATAAAAGTAGTGTAGAATACCAAAGGTTAACGTGGGATGCTCTGAGAAAGAGCATAAACGGGCTTGTAAATAAGGTTAATGCTACAAACATAAAAAATATAATTCCTGAATTGTTTTCTGAAAACCTGATCAGGGGAAGGGGACTCTTTTGTCGGTCATGTATGAAGTCACAGATGGCATCTCCAGGATTTACTGATGTTTTTGCTGCCTTGGTTGCTGTTGTTAATACTAAGTTTCCTGAGGTGGGGGATCTTTTGCTAAGAAGGATTGTTTTGCAGCTGAAGAGAGCTTATAAGCGGAATGACAAGGTATGTGAGTACTCTTTTTATTCTGCGATCAATTGTATGCTTCTAATATACTTTTATTTGCCTTTTGACTTGCTTCTGATTTCTTTTTTTTTTCTTTTTTCTTTTTTTTGTCTTTCATCATTTATAGCCTCAATTACTAGCAGCTGTTAAATTTATAGGGCATCTAGTGAATCAGCAAGTGGCGCATGAAATCATTGCTCTGGAGTTACTCACAGTTTTACTCGAGAAACCTACTGATGACAGTGTTGAAGTAGCTGTTGGTTTTGTCACTGAATGTGGTTCAATACTGCAGGATCTCTCACCCAAGGGCCTTCATGGTGAGTTTTCCCCTCACACTATATGGCAATAGTGTGCATAGGTTTTTGTTTGTAAATATGATCATGACTTTCACGTATCTTGTATTTTTTTTGGTTCGTATTGCACGTCAAAGGTGACATGAACAAATGTAGATAATATATGGTTGCAAGAAGTGAAAATTATTTTGTTTGGTGTTGTAAGGGATTAAAATAAGGAGCCTGAGACTCTGATTTACTTAGTGTGGGGCATGCATTTCTTGTTTTAAATATCAAAGGTTTAATATTATCCTTGATTAGTAGCACTTTGCGAATTTTCTAACTTGTTTTTAGTTATTTAATTCTGAGAATTAGGTTTTCTAACTAAATATAATGTCCAAAGCAAGTATGTATATGCCTAGATAGATTTTAGATATTGGTTAACTTTGCCCCTTTGCTACCTTTTTTATATTCCTTTTGTTTGTATTTTTTTTTTCTTAGGGACGATGACATATCCTCCTATATGCCTATACCATTTGCTTTAGGTCTTCTGCTGGTTTGCATTTGTTTATATTCCTCTGCTTGGTTGCAGAAATATGATAATGCAAGACACTTGTGTATATATGCAAATGATGCTTGAGATCAATTTCTGTCCTGAAATTTTCTGGCAAATAAGATTCTATAATTTTGCAGGTATCTTTGAGCGATTTCGTGGAATTCTTCATGAAGGAGAAATTGACAAACGTGTTCAGTTTCTGATTGAAGGCTTATTTGCAATTAGAAAAGCGAAGTTTCAGGTACTTTTTTATTGTTTGTGATAGGAATGGCACATTAAGACATTATTCAACTCTTTTGTAAATCAGTTTAAAGGAATAGTTCGAAATTGAAATGTATTACAATGGTTGCATTGCATTAACAGGGCTATCCAGCTGTTCGTCCTGAGCTAGATCTTGTGGAGCAGGAAGATCAGTTAACTCATGAAGTCTCCTTGGATGAGGAGATAGATCCTGAGATTTCCCTTGGTATATTTTGTTTTGACAAATTTGAATGTGTTTCCTATTGATTGATTGTGGTCATTTGTCATTTTTTTTGTAATTTTCCTTTTTCTTTCTCAGATATATTCAAGCCAGACCCCAATTTCCTGGAGAACGAGAAGCGATATGAAGAATTGAAGAAAACAATGTTGGGGGAGGAGTCTGAGGATGAAGAAGAAGGCATGGACGCTGAGTCAGATGATGAAGATGAAGAGGATGAGTCCGATGAAGAGGATGAAGAACAGATGCAAATAAAAGATGAAACAGAGACAAATCTTGTCAATCTTCGTAGGACAATATACTTAACAATTATGTCTAGTGTTGATTTTGAGGAAGCTGGCCATAAGCTTTTGAAAATTAAGCTTGAGCCAGGTCAAGAGGTGAGAGCTTGGAGTCTCTGCTTGAATTTCTTTTCTGCGGCTGCTGCTACTACTTGGCTTCCTTTTTCTTATTCTAAATTTTTTAGTACGTTAAGTTTATATTTTAAGAACATGGAAGAGCTTTAAAATCTAATTCAATTTATTGAACAAGATGAAAGCTCTTTTTCATTATCTCTACGTTGTATTGCAAATGTGTATCTTGGCACTTATTGATCTTTTAGATTTGAATTTAACTGAGTATCACTTGGGTGTGACGTAATTTGGGTCTTTTGTTTTTATTATCTATAATTTGATACTCTTTTATACAACCAGTGCACCAATTGCATCATGCCTAGTAGCTGTTATAAGCTGTAACCATTCTTAAGTATAGACTGAACATTCATTTCCTGCATATGCTGTAGCATTCTCCATCTGTTTAAGTTACGCCTTCTACTAAATAATAACAACTTTGTATTTCATATAATTGGTGGCAGATGGAATTGTGTATTATGCTTTTGGAATGTTGCAGCCAAGAGAGAACCTATCTCCGATATTATGGTCTTCTGGGACAGCGTTTCTGCATGATAAACAAAGTACACCAAGAAAATTTTGAGAAGTGCTTTGTGCAGCAGTACTCTATGATTCACCGACTTGAAACAAATAAGCTGCGCAATGTGGCAAAATTTTTTGCTCATTTACTTGGCACAGATGCTCTACCTTGGCATGTTTTATCATATATACGCCTGACTGAAGAGGACACAACTTCTTCTTCAAGAATATTTATTAAGATTCTCTTCCAGGTATTGAGAATCAAAATCATATATTCCTCATGTTTCTTTATGCACCTGCGTTATTATTTCACCAAGTTTGAATTGTGAGATTTAGAAATATACTTTTCTTATGATGAGACCTGCAAAATACTTTGGGCTTCTTGTCTTCTAGATTGCGTAAATTATGCATGCATCACACTATGTGTAAGATGTTGATTTCAGTTTGTGATGTTGCAGGAATTATCAGAGCATCTTGGAATCCGGCTTCTAAATGAGCGGTTAAATGATCCAACAATGCAAGAATCTTTTGAATCTATATTTCCAAAAGATAATCCAAAAAACACACGGTTCTGCATTAATTTCTTTACATCCATTGGTCTTGGTGGTCTCACTGAGAACCTACGTGAGTATTTGAAGAATATGCCACGTCTTATCATGCAACAACAGAAACAAGTTTCAGAATCTGAATCAGATGACGAGTCAGGGAGTTCTGATTCATCAGATTCTGGAACAGCTAGTTCAGAAAAGTCAGACTCAGATTCAGCAAGTTCTGATGAAAGTGACAGTAAGAGTGACAGAAGACAAAGAAAGCGGAGGAGAAAGTGAAGTCATTTTATCCACTAATTGATTGAGTATCCATGGTTTCTCAATCTTTAAATCACTGAATTAGCATTTTATGTATGGTATATGTGGGCTCTGGTTGAGGTGTTGATCTGGCTTTATGGATTTGTTTATTTTTGTTTTTCAGATCATATTTCCGGTTAACTAAGGCCCCAACTGTTTTACAATATATCAATGTCAAAAGCATGTATAACATTCAGGAGGCATAGATGGGGGTATTCTTTTGGAAGGGTATATACTATTTATGTCCATAAAGATTATTTTTGTTTTCATTTTGTATTTCTCGGTACAAGTTAACTTTTTGAGTGATTTTTTTATTATAATGTTATATATAATTAAGTCAAATTATATAAATGGCCAAATCAATACGAATATCTCTACATGTAAATTATGTCATTAGTCTTGAAGAATAATTGGAATTGTAGTGTATATAATTTTGGAATAGCAGGAGTATTATAATCTCCATTTTAATGAAATTGATCGAGTTAGGAATTTAGTTTCATCTACTTGTAAAATAAAAATTCTCCATCCCAATAAAAAACAATTCTAAGGTATTAACATATAAATATAATATTAATTTAATACTAATTATTATATAATCTAAATGTATTTAGTTTTAAATCATATCGCCTACCACAATTTAGTGAATATTTATGCTTTATAAATGTTTTATGTTTTACTAAGATAGGAATTATTAATGTATAGACCATGAGTATAAAGATGAAAAATTTACTAAAAATATAATAAAATTCAGAGTTAAATTACTTAGATCACATAAAAATGATCAGTTTATAAAACGACACAATAATATTTAACTTATAAAAGTGAATATAAACAATATATAATATAAAAAAATATAGCAAACAATTATCATTTGACATGGACACATATTAATATCTAAAACTAACTGTTCTTTATTTTCCTTTATTAAAATCACTTATTGCTTTCATGCTTTTTATCATGGTATTTTACTTCGGCCTTTTGGATTTTATGAGTTTACTACGTAAGCATGTTCATGTGATTTTGTGAAATGTTTGAATGAAAGACGATTTTATTGAATATCTTTTTTTTCCTTTTTTTTTTTGAAAGTTTAAACTAATAGTAAGAAATAACATTAAAAATTATATTAAAATTGATTAAAAATGGCTATTAATTAAAAATTTAAAATTACAAAAAATTTAAAATTAAAAAAAAATTCAAAATCCAAGATAAAAAAATTGAAGAGTCAAAATAAAAAATAATTTAAATGTGACAGATTAAATAAAGTTTAATCATAAATTAAATATTGTACTAAAAGGGATAGCAGTAATTTTAATTATTTAATAATGACCATTGCAATAATTAAACTACAATTAAGAAGAGATTTCAACCAACCACCAAACACTTTTGACCAATAAAAAATCATAATAACAATTCAAGTTGCTATTGTATAACATGAATCCCTCAAGTATCCTAAATATCATTTTTCAATATTTCAATTGATTTCTTGAGTTTTTAGAAATTATAATTAGAAATATCATAATATACAGTTATTTATGACATATTTAAATCTAAAATAAATACTTCGGATGAGCCAAAGTCATATATCTATACTATGCATAAACCGACTTAATAAATAATAAACTAATATCACATAATTAAAAATAAGTTATAAAAAAATAAAACCTAAAGTTTAACTAATTAAAATAATAACAAATTAATTACCATTATTATGTGTTAATGTTCCATTGCAAGTTGTGTGAGTGAAAACTAATACTTCTCAAAAGTACAGTGGAATTATTATTTATTTGTTCTTCCAATAAAGGGAAAAACAGCACCGCACATGCCACGTGGTCCCAATTCAATTTCCCTCATCCCAATTCTCATCCCTCCGATGTATTCAAATCCAACGTTCCAAAACCGTCCACGATCTCTCATACCAGCCTTTGATTATGCGAATTCGACATGGTTCATGTTGCTCCACGATCACCCCTTCTTCACCGTCAGATATTGAAAGATCCAACGGCCATATTCACGTGTAGAACCACAGAACATGGCAGCGGGAACATGAACTGAAGTAAGAGAGAGAGAGTTGGGTTGGTGAAGGTTTTCAAGAAGAAGATGGAACGAAGTGGTGGTGGAATGGTATCTGGGTCGCATGAAAGGAACGAACTTGTGAGAGTGAGACACGACTCTGATAGTGGGGTCCGTTCTTCTTGCTCTGTTCAACACGTTTACTAAGTTGGTCTATTTTTGAAGACGATGTTTCATGTTTTTTTTCTTTGGGTCTGGGAGTTTTGTTCTTTCACTGTGTGCAATTGACGTAAAAATTTTAGTTTTTATGATTGCAATGCAAATGGGTCATGTAAGTTTTGTTCCTTCTACAGGGTGTGTTGGGGTGACTTGTTTTTCTTCTTCTCCTTGCTTTAAGGTTTGGGTTAGATTGTTTTTGCATTTTTTTGGTAATTTAGCTTAACATTGTTTGGTGGGGTGGATTTGTTGGTAGGATGGTTGGATCTTGATGTGTGTTGATTGCTGGTGTGATTCCCCATTGATGGTGTTTGTCTTGATGGGGTATTTTAGAGTTGAATTTGATGCTTTAGTTTGAATTTGTAATTTGCATGTGGTGTTGGGTTTTGAATATATGCTTTTGGTAGGTGAGAATTGAGAAGTTTGTCTTCGAAATCGTACAGCTTCGTCTTTGGATGATGAGGCCATTGGCACTTCGAAGAATTTTGATTGTAGATTGCAGCCTGGTATTGGTAATGAAAAATGGTTATTAAATGTAACTGATTGTCTGATCCCGATGCATATAAAAAATTCCATGACAAATTTATTGAAAAATCTTGTCTGGAATCTTACTTGTTTGTTATTCTAAACTTTTATGGATGGGGCTTGTTGCTTTTGCATATGATATTGATCTGCATAGACTTAAGCTCTTTATTGCGCAATTCTAATTCCACTGTACAATTTCTATGCTCTGCAGTCTAAACCCTTGAAGAATTTGAATGGCCAGATTTGTCAAATATGTGGTGATACCATTGGATTAACGGCTACTGGTGATGTCTTTGTTGCTTGTCATGAGTGTGGCTTCCCACTTTGTCATTCTTGTTACGAGTATGAGCTGACAAATATGAGCCAATCTTGCCCCCAGTGCAAGACTAGATTCACAAGTCACCAAGGTTAGCCTGTGCATGAATATTTGTTTTTTTGGTCTTTCCCACCTCAGCATTTACAATGAACAAGATGAATCTGGATATCAGAGGGTGCTGGAGCGGAGGGTGATGACGATGATGAAGACGATGCTGATGATCTAGACAATGAGACCAAGTACGGCCAAGGAAACAATTCCAAGGCAGGGATGCAATGGGAAGAAGATGCTGACCTCTCTTCATCTTCTGGACATGATTCTCAAATACCAAATCCCCATCTAGAAAACGGGCAACCGGTAATGTATTTAGCTGATTCTGAGATTCTCAACTGGGTTTAAATCACAGGTGTACTTGTGAATGCACTTTTGGTTGGGGTTTTACTGTATTACTCAAAGTTGGACAAGCTTGAGTAAAGTTTGAAAATGATTAAAACTTTGAAGATATTACTCTATCTTTTCCCTTTTAAGGTTGTGATATGCCTACTTATACATTAGAGTGTAAATTTTATCTTAAGTGTGTAATCATGTATTTATCACTTGTGTAACTTGATTATTTACAAGAATGCTATTAGTTTTGTTTGAGCTAAGTAATTAATTTACTGTAATCAGTGTTATGTATGTAATATTTCATGAATTATTGTATGTATTTTACTTATAGACTTCATTGACATCATAGTTGGTACATCATTATATAATAATACACTATACACTAATACTAATATACAACAATTGTGCTTTTTTGGTTAGATGTCTGGTGATATTCCATGTGCTACTTCTGATGCTCAATCTATGCAAACTACATCAGGTCCTATGGTTATTACAAAACAACCAGGTATGGAGTTAACAAGAAGTGATGGCAGCATATCACATTTTATGGTTATCATGATTTTTTTGAATGCAAAATACCTTTTTATTACCTTTCTGGAGTTTTTCTTTCTCATAAAATACAGAGCAAACACGAATTAAAGAAAATAATGGATTTTCATAAAAGGACCTGTATTTTATTTTCCTTGAATCAACATACCCTTCCTATTGTGTTGGTTTCATGTTAACAGACAACAATGGTTATTGTGGCTTTGAACTTAGTTTGGCACAATCCAGGTCCTGAAAGCGATGAAGAGATAAGGAGAGTTCCTGAGATTGGAGGTGAAAGTGCTGGAACTTCAGCCTCTCGGCCAGATGCCGGATCAAATGTGGGCACAGATCGGGTTCGGGGGACAGGAGAGGGTCAGAAGAAGAGAGGGAGAAGCCCAGCTGATAAAGAAAGCAAGCGGCTAAAGAGGTATGCATATTAAACTTGGTCATGTCTAACCTCCACGGAAACCTTTTCTCCTCTGATTTACTGAGGGGATTGGAAATGGAAACAGGCTATTGAGGAACAGAGTTTCGGCTCAACAAGCAAGGGAGAGGAAGAAGGCATACTTGATTGATTTGGAAACAAGAGTCAAAGACTTGGAGAAGAAGAATTCAGAGCTCAAGGAAAGACTTTCGACTTTGCAGAATGAGAACCAAATGCTTAGACAAGTATGCCAACTTTGCTTGCTTATGTTGTTATCGTGGCATCATCATTATAACTATATATACATGTCTCTAACTCATTATCATCATTGTCTTTGTCACCATGATGATCTTATTCTTCTTTGAGTGGGCTATGTGAACTCACTTTTTGATAAAATTCATTCACCAAATTTTTTAAAATTTAATCATTACTTGCTCTATCTATTGTTGCCTTGTGTACACTTAGTAATTTGTTTTGTAAAAGAACAAAAGGGGATATTCATGTGATTAGTCTCTGATCCACTGGGTTGGAAGAAATTTGTGGCATGAAAAAAGTGCAATGTGAGTTCTGTTTGGCTTGATCTTTGCTCAATCATGTCATTTCTCTGTTGCAGATTTTGAAGAACACAACAGCAAGCAGAAGAGGGAGCAATAGTGGTACCAATAATGCTGAATGAATATAATGACAAACTATGACAGTGAAACTTTATAGTTGGAGTAGATTTAGAGAGAGTATATTACCAAGAAAGAGAGAGAGAAGAAAAATAAATAAATTAAACTGTAGTTTTGATTATTCTTTCTAGGTGTGCTTTTGGAATACAATGAAGTCTCAAGACATGCTTTATCCTAAAATAGTGTGATCTTGATGTTCCATTGTTTATGCGTAATGTAATTATCATACAAAATTTTACAGTCTCTTATTTTGACTAATCATCATGCTACTTGATTACTCATTGTTAAACACCATTTGTTGAGGAGATTAATCATATGTCATGTATACTTAATTAAATCACTAATGAGTTTAAATAAGATGTTATATGGATAAGTATTGTGACTTAATGGTGGAGGGCCATTAAAAATAAGATTAAAATGGTGGATATTTTTTTTTTTTTGTTTTGAGAAAAATTTACATGATGTAACAGTTGCATGATTTGAGAACGAACAACAGTTTAAGTCCTTTGAGAAAACAAAGGATGCCAATCATGTCAAGAACGTATAGGAGAAACAACATTGTAAGAATACATGATCTTGCAAGAAAGATTTTGTCATTGAGTGAAATAAGCAATGATACTTAGAGAATATTGGCTTGAGATGAGATCTATAACAAATACGGATTCAAGAGGGGTAAAAAGGACTTTAGCTAGCTTAGCTGAGGAGGGATACGTGAATACTGACCCACTGAATCAAGAAAGGAGGAAAAGTGCAAGGATCAAAATTACTAACTCACGATTGAAGGACTTTGAGTGGTCTAAGCATTAGTATATAACTTTCTGTTGGAGGAAAGAGAAGAGGGGGGCGGGGGAGGGGGGTGTAATCCTCTCTTTCTGGGATATTCTTCTGATATTTCCTTGTTTCTCTTACTATCCTTGTATCGCTATTGAATAGAGTAGCCTTCCTTATTATAATTCATACCATTATATCAATAATACGTACAAAGATTTATATCTATTCGTAGTTTACTTTTGTATTTGTTAATACTATTACATATTGGTGCTTTCATTGCCTTTTTCATGGCAGAAAACACTAGACTGAAGGAATTATCTATGGATGTTAAACGAATTTTGGAAGTTCAGGATTCTCGTGAGGAGTACTCCATGTGTTTTGAAACAATCGAATCTGCAGTGGATACCTTGCTGAAACAAAAACCCGATTCTTCTCAGCCATTCCAGGTTCGCAACGTTAAAATTGATTTTCCATGATTTGATGGCACAGATGTTCTTCAGTGGATCTTTAAAGCAAAACAATTTTTCACATATTATAACACATATGCTGACCAACGTTTAATCATTTCTGCGATTCATTTGGATAAAGATGTCGTACCTTTGATGGCACGAATGTTCTTCAGTGGATCTTTAAAGCAGAACAATTTTTCACGTATTATAACACATATGATGACCAACGTTTAATCATTTTTGTTATTCATTTGGATAAAGATGCCGTACCTTAGTATCAAATGATGAACCGTACTAACCCATTTCATTCTTGGACTGCTTTCACTCGAGCATTGGAGTTAGAATTTAGACCCTCTCCCTATGAATGGCCTCGATCTCACTTGTTTAAGCTAACTCGGGTTGGTTTTGTGCATGAGTATTATGTGCAGTTCACGTCTTTAGCAAATCGTGTACAGAGAATTACCTTTGAGACCTTATTGGATTGCTTTGTTGGGGGTCTCAAACCAGATATTAGGCATGATGTGATAGCTCAAGCTCCAACTACTCTGATTTGCTCTGTATCCTTGGCCAAACTTTATGAAGAAAAGTATGTGTCAAAACCAAAAACCCATACCTTCACATATTTTCCCAAAACACAAGCCACAAATACTTCCCTACCAGTTTCTCAAACCCTTAAATCCACCAGTTTACCACCACTCCTTCCAAACCCAACCCAACCTGCTCCTTCCAGTACCACAAAAAATCCAAATGTTAAGCGCATGACTGCTGTAGAAATACACTTAAGGAGAGAAAAAGGTCTTTGCTATATGTGTGATGAAAAGTTCTCGCCTAGCCATCAATGTCCTAATAAATAGTATTTGATTATGCAATTAGAAGATGGTTATAGTGTAGAGTTATATATGATCCTCCTAACAGTAATCTAGGTGCTGAAGTGGAGTTACAGCAGGAGCATCATTTGTCTTACAATGCCTTGAAAGGGTCCTCAGGGCTTGGTACAATGAAATTTCAGGGCTGCATTAATGGTATACTTGTCCAAGTATTACTTGATAGTGGTAGTTTTGATAATTTTTTGCAACCCAGATTATCTCACTGTTTGAAATTGCCAATAGAACCTATTCCTAACTTTCAGGTGTTGGTTGGGAATGGAAATTCTCTGGTGGCTGAAGGTTTTTTGCGAGAATTGGAAATTAAAATTCAAGGACATTCCTTGAAGCTTCCTGTCTATCTTTTACCAATCACTGGAGCAGACTTGGTGTTAGGTGTTGCCTGGCTAGCAACACTTGGGCCTCACATTTCGGACTATAGCAATTTATCTCTGAAATTTTATCTAGGTAATCAATTCATTACACTACATGGTGACCAACCAAAACTACCTACTCAGGCCCAATTTCACCACCTTCGAAGGATGCAGCATACTCACGCTCTTGCTGAGCTTTTTACATTGCAGTACTCATTACCTGATGTTCCTCAGGATCAGGGGCTTGATCTACCTGAGGATATGGAGCCTGAATTAGTAGTTCTGCTTCACACTTATAGAGAGATTTTTGCTTTGCCTTCTGGACTGCCTCCTAATAGGTCTCAAAACCACACTATTCCACTAATGCAAGGTACTGCCCCTGTTAAGATTAGGCCTTATCAATATCCACATAGCCAAAAACAACAATAGAGACCATGATCCAAGATATGCTGCAAGAAGGAATTATTGTACCAAGTATAAGTCTATTCTCCTCACCTATCATTCTTGTAAAAAAAAAAAGCATGATACTTGGAGGTTTTGCACTGACTACAGGGCTTTGAATGCTATCACAATGTTAAGTGGTAAAAAATTGATGTAATTATGCTTTGAATTGTTATGAAATTACTTAACTTATGTTAATTATAATCTATTTTCTCTCAATGTAGGATGAATTCGAGAATACCTTGATACAAGAGTAAGGAATATAATTATCAGTATAATTGGAGCAAAACTAGAAGAAGGAAGAAAATTTTTAGCATGAAAGCCGCTCGAGCGAGATGGACTCTCGCTTGAGCGAATATCAGTCATTCTTCTCTAGAAGTCAGTCGCTCAAGCGCAAGTAAATTCACTAGAACGAATATTAGTTGTTCTTCTCTAGAGTTCACTTGCTCAAGCGAGCAAATTTTCGCTTGAGCGAAAATAGGGAATTTTCGCTTGAGCGAGCGTTGTCGCTTAAGTGAAAGACGCGAGACCCAATTTTTCCTATAAAAAGATAAGATGCGTTTTGAGAAAAGTAAGTAGCTTGGGGAGAAGATGCGCAACTACTGCGAGAGTTTCGTCTAATCTTCATCAATTCTTCACTTCTTCCACATTTGGAGCATTGTAATGGCCAACATGAGTGACTAACTTCATTATCTTGGGATTTGGTACACTTTCTTTGAACTCTTTTGTATCATGGTGATATTTTGAGATATTAATCTATGTTTTGATGTTGTTATTCTTATCTTTTGTGCTTTGGAATGATTTATTCTTGATTTTTGGGGTATGATTGAAAAATATATTTTGAACCCTAAATCACGGTAAAAATATTTGTTACGTTAATTGTCAGGAATAGAATGAATGTATCAATTGCTTAACACCCTAAACCTAATAGTGGAAAATCTCTGACTTGTGTGCAAAATCAACATTTATTAGGTTTTCTTATGAATTTCATGTGTGAGAAATCAACATGGATGATTTGAGTATGTGTCATCAACATTGTTAGGTTAATTAATGTGCTTAATTGACATAATCATTGCAAAAGAGAGATAAGGAAGGAAGTCAATCCTAAGTGCCGTTAATTGATCTTTTCTCAACAATTTACAGTTCTTTGTCATTTAATTTCAATTCAACTCTTTATGAAAAACTCACTTTGTCTTAATCTACTTAGTAAACATATAATTGGGAATTTCTATTGAAACCGTTTCTCGTAGGATCAACTTTTATTTAATCGAAATACTATACTGCGATTGATAATTTTGGTACGCTTGCCAATAATTCAACAAGTATTTCAACAAGACATTGCTCAATTGAACATTTTCTCTACTGGCTTGCGACATGATGCAAATATGCTATTAGAGGCTGCAGCAGGAGGATCCATGTTTGATGTAGAAATTGATCATGCCACAAGAATTATTGATGCACTAGTCTTTATAGACCAACATGCCCAACATGATAGACATCCAATTCAAAAGAAAGGAATGCTTGAGCGTAACACTTCAGATGCTATGCTAGCTTAGAATAAAATTTTGACTAAACAGATGGAAGCATTGACTCAACAAATAGCAAGACTACCTCAACAAATACATGCTATCCAAGCTTTTCCTAGTCAACAATTCATGAAATGCGACTTGTGTGGAGGTGATCATCCAAATGAACAATGCTCTTACTAAGACAACTCACAACAAGAATAAGCTAAATATATGGGTGCTCAAGGTAATAGTCAAGACAGACAAGGTAATTTTCCTAATCCCAACAATTATCAGAATAATTTTGCACAAGGATGGAGAGAGAATTAGAATCAGAATCAGAATCACAATTTGGGTGGAAACAAAGTGTTAGCTTATCTACTAGACAACCTACATTTCAACAATAGTCATATCATCAATCTCCATATCAACAATAACAACAACATTATCCTTCAATGCCTGACAGAATGAGCAAATTAGAGGACACTTTAGAAAAATTCATGCAAGCTACTATGTCTAGTTAGAAAAATACTGATGCTTCATTCATAAATTTAGAGACCCAGGTGGGCCAATTAGCTAAACAGTTATCTGAGCAGCAATGA